GGTGTAATACAGGAAAATATTGGTTGTCAAGTGGTGTAATACAGGAGAAATATTGGTTGTAATACAGGGAAATCAGGAGAAATATTGGTTGTCAAGTGGTGTAATACAGGAAAATATTGGTTGTCAAGTGGTGTAATACAGGGAAATATTGGTTGTCAAGTGGTGTAATACAGGAAAATATTGGTTGTCAAGTGGTGTAATACAGGGAAATATTGGTTGTCAAGTGGTGTAATACAGGAAAATATTGGTTGTCAAGTGGTGAAAATATTGGTTGTCAAGTGGTGTAATACAGGAAAATATTGGTTGTCAAGTGGTGTAATACAGGGAAATATTGGTTGTCAAGTGGTGTAATACAGGAAAATATTGGTTGTCAAGTGGTGTAATACAGGAAAATATTGGTTGTCAAGTGGTGTAATACAGGAAAATATTGGTTGTCAAGTGGTGTAATACAGGAAAATATTGGTTGTCAAGTGGTGTAATACAGGAAATATTGGTTGTCAAGTGGTGTAATACAGGGAAATATTGGTTGTCAAGTGGTGTAACACAGGAAAATATTGGTTGTCAAGTGGTGTAATACAGGAAAATATTGGTTGTCAAGTGGTGTAATACAGGGAAATATTGGTTGTCAAGTGGTGTAATACAGGAAAATATTGGTTGTCAAGTGGTGTAATACAGGGAAATATTGGTTGTCAAGTGGTGTAATACAGGAAAATATTGGTTGTCAAGTGGTGTAATACAGGAAAACATTGGTTGTCAAGTGGTGTAATACAGGAAAATATTGGTTGTCAAGTGGTGTAATACAGTGAAATATTGGTTGTCAAGTGGTGTAATACAGGAAAATATTGGTTGTCAAGTGGTGTAATACAGGTAAATATTGGTTGTCAAGTGGTGTAATACAGGGAAATATTGGTTGTCAAGTGGTGTAATACAGGAAAATATTGGTTGTCAAGTGGTGTACAGGGAAATATTGGTTGTCAAGTGGTGTAATACAGGAAAATATTGGTTGTCAAGTGGTGTAATACAGGAAAATATTGGTTGTCAAGTGGAGTAATACATGAAAATATATGTCAAGTGGTGTAATACAGGGAAATATTGGTTGTCAAGTGGTGTAATACAGGAAAATATTGGTTGTCAAGGAAAATATTGGTTGTCAAGTGGTGTAATACAGGAAAATATTGGTTGTCAAGTGGTGTAATACAGGAAAATATTGGTTGTCAAGTGGTGTAATACAGGAAAATATTGGTTGTCAAGTGGTGTAATACAGGAAAATATTGGTTGTCAAGTGGTGTAATACAGGGAAATATTGGTTGTCAAGTGGTGTAATACAGGAAAATATTGGTTGTCAAGTGGTGTAATACAGAGAAATATTGGTTGTCAAGTGGTGTAATACAGGGAAATATTGGTCAAGTGGTGTAATACAGGAAAAATATTGGTTGTCAAGTGGTGTAATACAGGGAAATATTGGTTGTCAAGTGGTGTAATACAGGTTGTCAAGTGGTGGAAAATATTGGTTGTCAAGTGGTGTAATACAGGAAAATATTGGTTGTCAAGTGGTGTTGTCAAGTGGTGTAATACAGGAAAATATTGGTTGTCAAGTGGTGTAATACAGAGAAATATTGGTTGTCAAGTGGTGTAATACAGGGAAATATAGGTCAAGTGGTGTAATACAGGGAAATATTGGTTGTCAAGTGGTGTAATACAGGAAAATATTGGTTGTCAAGTGGTGTAATACAGGAAAATATTGGTTGTCAAGTGGTGTAATACAGGAAAATATAGGTCAAGTGGTGTAATACAGGGAAATATTGGTTGTCAAGTGGTGTAATACAGGAAAATATTGGTTGTCAAGTGGTGTAATACAGGAAAATATTGGTTGTCAAGTGGTGTAATACAGGAAAATATTGGTTGTCAAGTGGTGTAATACAGAGAAATATTGGTTGTCAAGTGGTGTAATACAGGGAAATATTGGTCAAGTGGTGTAATACAGGAAAATATAGGTCAAGTGGTGTAATACAGGGAAATATTGGTCAAGTGGTGTAATACAGGAAAAATATTGGTTGTCAAGTGGTGTAATACAGGGAAATATTGGTTGTCAAGTGGTGTAATACAGGAAAATATTGGTTGTCAAGTGGTGTAATACAGGAAAATATTGGTTGTCAAGTGGTGTAATACAGGAAAATATTGGTTGTCAAGTGGTGTAATACAGGGAAATATTGGTTGTCAAGTGGTGTAATACAGGGAAATATTGGTTGTCAAGTGGTGTAATACAGGAAAATATTGGTTGTCAAGTGGTGTAATACAGGAAAATATTGGTTGTCAAGTGGTGTAATACAGGAAAATATTGGTTGTCAAGTGGTGTAATACAGGAAAATATTGGTTGTCAAGTGGTGTAATACAGGAAAATATTGGTTGTCAAGTGGTGTAATACAGGGAAATATTGGTTGTCAAGTGGTGTAATACAGGAAAACATTGGTTGTCCAGTGGTGTAATACAGGAAAATATTGGTTGTCAAGTGGTGTAATACAGGGAAATATTGGTTGTCAAGTGGTGTAATACAGGAAAATATTGGTTGTCAAGTGGTGTAATACAGGAAAATATTGGTTGTCAAGTGGTGTAATACAGGAAAATATTGGTTGTCAAGTGGTGTAATACAGGAAAATATTGGTTGTCAAGTGGTGTAATACAGGGAAATATAGGTCAAGTGGTAATACAGGGAAATATTGGTTGTCAAGTGGTGTAATACAGGAAAATATTGGTTGTCAAGTGGTGTAATACAGGGAAATATTGGTTGTCAAGTGGTGTAATACAGGAAAACATTGGTTGTCAAGTGGTGTAATACAGGAAAATATTGGTTGTCAAGTGGTGTAATACAGAGAAATATTGGTTGTCAAGTGGTGTAATACAGGAAAATATTGGTTGTCAAGTGGTGTAATACAGGAAAATATAGGTCAAGTGGTGTAATACAGGGAAATATTGGTTGTCAAGTGGTGTAATACAGGGAAATATTGGTTGTCAAGTGGTGTAATACAGGAAAACATTGGTTGTCAAGTGGTGTAATACAGGAAAATATTGGTTGTCAAGTGGTGTAATACAGAGAAATATTGGTTGTCAAGTGGTGTAATACAGGAAAATATTGGTCAAATGGTGTAATACAGGAAAATATTGGTTGTCAAGTGGTGTAATACAGGGAAATATTGGTTGTCAAGTGGTGTAATACAGGAAAATATTGGTTGTCAAGTGGTGTAATACAGAGAAATATTGGTTGTCAAGTGGTGTAATACAGGAAAATATTGGTTGTCAAGTGGTGTAATACAGGAAAATATTGGTTGTCAAGTGGTGTAATACAGGAAAATATTGGTTGTCAAGTGGTGTAATACAGGGGAAATATTAATACAGGAAATATTGTATATATGTGTCAAGTGGTGTAATACAGGAAATATTGGTTGTCAAGTGGTGTAATAGAGAAATATTGGTTGTCAAGTGGTGTAATACAGGAAAATATTGGTTGTCAATTGTGTTATGATTAATATTGGAAGGAAGTGGATATTTTGATGTCCGAGACAGGGGAGATAGGTGGATTCGTATATTCTTGGTTGCTGGAGACCTTATTGTTTTGCCTGCTGGAATATACCATCGCTTCACCCTGGATGAAAAAGTCAGTGGAAGGGGGACACCTCATATTTTACCCTTAACTATGATTTTTTCTTAAGTCTCCTGCTTTAAATGAGCAGAGAACCAGTGTGGACCCCTCATAACCGCCCACAGGAAGACATGCTCGTAAGGAAGGATTATGTCAGAAAATACATCACTGCTGCCTAAATGGTGTTGAGCTACGTATGCCACAGATAGGAATTATAATGCTCCAAATGTATCTATTAATTACCAGAAGATGTAACATATATTGTTAAAAGCTTTGTAATTAATCACAAACTGTTGTGAACTGTCATGCTTGATAATTCTAGCAGAGAACTTTTTGTGAAAAATGATATGATAATGTGCCTTATACATTAGAGTTAACTATGTTCAGCCTTATGAGGAGCCTACAAAAGTCCTGGTTATGTTGGTTTTGAATAGTTTGCTTTTTTGGGGAAAATATATAAACATTCATTAATGGTTATGGTGAATTTTTATGGACAAATATTCCTTGTGGCAAACCTGGCACAAAGTTTCAAGTAAGCTGATGAGACACCGTGGCATCTGTCTTGCGTTGGTCAACTTTTACTAAATATTACTACTAATCATGAACAACTGAGTGGATTTTGATCTGAGGTGGTCAGAAGCATCCTTGGGAAAAGGGGTCTCCGTTTTATATAATCAATTTGAGCTCTGCTGGGCCCTGAATGGAGGGGTTGAAAAGGGGAAATTTAGCAAATTCTTTAAAATCCTTCTTCAGTAGGAATAATTAGATTATGTTCAAATTTTGTGTGCAGCATCCTTGGATGAAACAGATTCAACTTTGGATAATCAGTGGGTCTCAGCTGTCTGGGGTGGGAGGGGCAGGGCCCAATCGGGGAATTATCTATATAACTTTTCCAATAATGCAGATAAAGTAATTTTAGCAAATTTAACCAGGTTAGCAATGCTGGCCTTATGGGCCTCTTCTTTATGAGTTTCTTGTAATAATTATTACAAAGACTGATGTTGGTTTATAGGTAAATGTGTATCCAGGTATCATACAACAGTACAGCTGCTCAGCAGATATTTTTGAAAAGTGTGTGATCTGACCTTGTCACAGATTCCATACAGAAGTGTTAAGAAACAGTTTTATTACAAGGCCTTTTAAATTGTTGTCAGCTGATAAGAGCTGTTGGAGGTATAGACTGGATTGTCAACTATAATTTCTCTACTCTCTGTTTTGAGTTAATTTTGAAAACAAAATAACAGGTTCAGGGTGATTCTGCCATTTTTAACAGCTGAATCGTTTGTTCATCATTGCAGAATTCATTCTGTGATGGTGACTGGAAATTTTCAGACAAAAAAAATCAAATTTCCATATTTCACAATTGGTACCATCTTGTCAAGTTGTGTTTGTACACTACAGCATTACAGGTATATTCTTACGTTTAATGAACAACACATAGTGATCAGAATTAGGGCTGTTAAATGAAATGGTACTTAATCAAGTTGTTGTTAAATTTGGAATAAAACATTTTCAAATTATTGCCAGTGCAAATACTCCCATCTCTTTTTCTCACAAACATTCCCATAGTTAACAGGTAGGATTTCTGAAGCTCCGACCCACACAGAGATTTCTTTGCTGATTTGACCAATCAGCATTGTTTTGATGACAAATTTGTGAAAGATGGTTATCCTGAATAGACTGGATGGCTTGTTTTTACTACTCTTCTCCAGACTTTGCTTCGAAAATAAAACAGTTGCAATACAATAATTTCATTGAATGCAGTCTAAAGGAAAAAAAATTGTATTAATACAACTTAATAATAATAATTATAATTGGCTTTCTTTATTTTTGATAACATATTGAGCAATATGCTCATCTTACATATGGTCAAGAAGATAAAATACAATATTTACAAATAATCCAGTCTAGGGCCCTGGACAGAATTTTCTAGGAGTGCAGTTAAACGGAAAACCATTGCACTAAAGTAGGCAATCCAGTCTAGTGTAGATGTATATATTACAAGGTCTTTGAAGGGTAGGTTCAAACCCTTGGTTGTGCCACATTGTTTGGAAATGGATTTGAACCTGACACTGCTGGAAGGGTATTATTGTTTACAATGAGATTTTTTAAATACTTTTACTCTGGCGTATTGTATCATTTTACATTGTTTATATTACACTATATATTCAGTGTATATCGCACTGCATCTTGTATTTATGTTATACACTTGTATGATAATAAACTAGCAATAGTTATCACACTAGAATTCCATATTTTGTGGATGTGAAGAACGTACATGAATTTGCTCAGTCCTCTCAAAATTGAATGCTTTTAAAAAAAAAAATGTTAAAAATATTGAAATTCACGATCAGATATTTTTATAATTTGAAGATTCAAACTTTATAAAGAGGATTCATACAAACTGATCAAACATGTAAGAAATCAAGAATTACCTTGAATGTTCACCCAAATTCACATCCGCAAAAACATTTTGAAATGTTTTATTTTACTCAAGTTTAAGTTAATCGTCATATTAAACAGAGTTATTAGTACCTACCAAAATCATAGGTATGCCCTACTCTCAAAAACAGATTTTATCCCAGACTCATAGAAAAACAGAAGTTGTAACCCATTGCTTTTTGGATTGGGTTGTCATGGTAGTGTTATGGTTAGGCAGTTGTAGAAGGTCTTGGTTAGGGGATTAGGTAACATAGATAGTGAAATCTTTGTCCAGATAGGGCACAAGTCAAAAATTATCTTCCTTTTGACAATTGTGTTACAATGTCCATATATAAGAAAAATTAAGACAATGTATTATATACAGTAATTGATATTGATCGGAGGCTTTCAAATTTGTATTACCTGTCTTCATTGTACTTGAATATGATATATGGTGTGTGTACAAATGAAAAGATATATCGTCATACATGTACCTGTTTTAATATTAACCGAGTCTGTCGGACCATTGTTTTCTTTGTTATGGTAAAGTCATATTTAGAAATGGCATGTACTTTGGTAATATTTTAGAGGCAATCAAACAAAATGCTTTTTTTTATATGCATCGAATGATTGGGAGCATATTTTTTTTATGCTGTCTGGTTGTCCATTGTAAACTTTAACGTTGCCCACAACCATTGAACTGGATGAGATAGGGCTTTCATATTTGGCATGTGGGTTCCTTGTGACAAGACCTTTCCACTGGTATCAAACTTTTTCAACATGTGACCTTTACTGTGACCTGTGACCTACATTTGTAAAAAAAATTAACATTGGCCATAACTATTGCATCATGAGAGGTATGATTTTTATATTTGGCATGTGTGTTCCTTGTGGAAAGACATTTCAGGTGGTACCAGAATTTTTTACCATATGACCTTGACCCTGGCATTTGACCTACATTTGACAGTAAAAAACATTTCCACAACGAAGACGTAAGTGTTTCACAAAGTGTGCATGAAATTAGCAAATGCCTTACACAGAAGAGTTTTTATGTCCCACTTCAGAATCTTGTAACTGAGGGCATAGTGTTTTATAAACACATCTTGTTTTTTATTTTTAAATGCAATAGCTGTAATTTAGGTTCTGAATTTATACTCTTGATAATACGGGTTTTAATATAATTGTATTAAAGAATTGCTTTCATGTTAATTTTATGCATGTTTGATAATTATACAGGTTGTTAAATTTCTACTGTAAATCCTGACTTTAGCAACACCCATCTTGACTGTCGCCAAACTTCAGCAACATCCATCTCCACTTAAGCAACACCCATCTTCACTGTTACCAAACGTTAGCAACATCCATCTTCACTGTCACCAAACTTTAGCAACATCCATCTTCACTGTCACCAAACTATCAACTCCTATATTTACTGACATCTGACTTTATCAACTCCTATATTTACTGACATCTGACTTTAGCAACTCCTATATTTACTGACATCTGACTTTATCAACTCCTATATTTACTGACATCTGACTTTATCAACTCCTATATTTACTGACATCTGACTTTATCAACTCCTATATTTACTGACATCTGACTTCAGTAACTCCTATATTTACTGACAACTGACTGTATCTACTCCTATATTTACTGACATCTGACTTTATCAACTCCTATATTTACTGACATCTGACTTTATCAACTCATATATTTACTGACATCTGACTTCAGTAACTCCTTCATTTACTTGACGCTTGACTTTAGGTGCACTCATCTTAACTGAAGCCTTATTTCCCTAATTTTACAGACTTTGGCCCAGACTTGACTGGTTTATAGAAAGTACCAGTGATTTGTTCAGTCTTGCTTCATATTCATTTTATATTGTATTGAAGACAAATAAAATATGTACTCATCAATAAGTAACTGTTTTTTTTATTTTGTTTTGTTTGTTTGTTTTTGTTCTCATTCTCTCTCTTTTAAGGTTACCTGAGAAGAAGTCTCAAATGACCTATTGTGATCTGTCGTCTGGCATAAACAATTTACATTTCACGACTTCCTCTAAATAACCAAAAACCCAGGGTCATGATATTGGATCAGTAGCATGCTTGCATGAGGGCTACCAAGTCTATTCAATTAATTGACCTTGACCTACTTTCAAGGTTACAGGGGTCAAATATGTTAAGATCTTTAAATGACTCCTCAATAAGCAAATGGTCCAAGTTTATGATATTTGGTCTGTAGCATGCTGGAATAATGGCTGCCAATCTTGTTCAAATGAATTACCTTGACTTTCTTAAAAGGTCACAGGGGTCAAAAGTGTTAAAATCTTTTAACAATTTCTTCTCAATAAGCAAATCATCCTGGGTCATGATATTTGGCCAGTAGCATGCTAGGATGAATGACCTTGTCATAATTTAAAGGTCACAGAAGTAAAAGATGCTAAACTACAACAAAAGATAGTGTTATCGGTTCTGTTTAATTGAAAATTAAGCCTTCAAACTTCGAAACAATAAAAACTACGGTATGTAAGTATGCATATATCAGTTCTGTTCTGTCTGCCCCAATACTGGGACTGATTGATTCTAAAACCGTCCAAAGATCTGGAGACCTCCAGTGACCGTAATAGCCCTTGGGCCTCTTGTTAGAATTGTTTTCCTTACTTGTTTGTGTGCGTGTTCTTTATTGGAAGAAGAGAAAATTTGTATAAATGTTAGGTTTTGAGCCCCTGGGGCCTGTGGGGTGGGGCCCAATAGCGGAAATAGAGCAAATTCTTAAAAATCTTAATCCTTCAGCAGGACTGCCTAAATTTAGTCCAAAGCATTCTTGGATGAAGAGGAATATATTTTGTATAGCTGATGGGTCTTCACCCCCTGGATCTGGGAGGGCAGGGCCAAAAATGGGACATTTTGTTCTGTAAAATCCTACTCCTCCTGTTGGATTTTGCCCAAATTTGTTCTGAAGCCTTATTGGGAAATAGGGATCAATTTTGTATAATAGGTGGGTCTCTGCCCCCTGGGGCGGGAAAGGTGGGCCCAATAATGACAGCAGTGTAAATTGCCTTTTGTAAAATCTTTCTGTGTCCCGAGCACAACTTTGCTTTCATTTAAGCAAGGACAATGAAATTTGGTGTTTACACAGATCATACTAAGAGGATGTGCAGTGTATCAAATACAGGACCTGCTACCCCTTCGTCACTGAGTTAGTCAGCTTAATAAAAATTGTGAGTGTAATGAAGTCCTTTTCAGGGAGCATTCATTTTTTCTCCCCGAGAATATCCTTCACAGATCTTTCTCTAGTTACACATAATATAATTTTAACATACTACACCAAACCAGACAAGATCAGTGCACAACTAAATATCTAGGTAATACATATATATTGAACGATCAGATTTCTTAAACAAGATAACCAGTACATGAAAATCTTAATAATTCAATATTTTGAAACTGGGGAACATTTTTTCAAAACTTTGTAATATACCCCATACAAGAGATCTTGGAATATTGTTATATCAGTTTTCCTAATCATAGTGGGTAAAATCTCGAAGCTGTCTTATTTGATCACTGACCATTTTCCCAGTGAGAGCACCACAAAACATATCTTCAACCTGTTTGTTTATATTAACTGAGCTATTAGACAGCCATGCAGTCTGTATTGTATTGGAACCATATTGTTCCACTTTTCAACCTGACTGTTACAAGATACTGAATGGTAACCCGTTAGTTTTAAGGTAAGTGGATTCTATTGCCCTGTATACCATATAACAGGTTCTTTTTGCCACACAGAAGTTACATCATTTAGTGCCAAAATAAGAACAACTTATTTTAGTTGGTAATATTTCCACCATTGAAAAGCAGAAACTGAGAGGAAAAAACTCTTTCTCCAGAAGAAGTTTTGAAATTTAAAATTCAAAGATTAATCCACCTTAATATTACAAAAATTAGACACTGACAGCTAAGAAAAAAACATGCTTCACCTGCTTATAGATTGGTATACCGTAGTGAGGAGAATTCGGTGACTCCAATGTTCCCCTCTAAACATCCTATATATAGGACCACACTTAATCAAAATGTTTATCTCGAAACACCTACAGAGCACGATCGATATCTGTCAAAAGAAAGACAGTCTTGTAGCAATCCACTTTTATCCATCTACCAAACTTGTTATGGTTTCAATATACCAAACTGACATCTAACACCAATCTCTCATCGCTCTTGTCCACCACCAACTGAACATAATGGCAATACTACAGGATACATTAACTATGTACTGGTCGTTTTAGAGGTTTGAACAAAATCAGGATTGATAGTAACCTAGAAATAAAAATGAATCCATTTTACAACTTATCTCAAAAAACTCCTTCCTTTATAGGTCAAGGTTTGGGTAAAAAAAAATATGAAAATTTGAACCATCATAAAAAATACTTTTACAGTAAATCAAAAGCACCAGTTTGATTAGCCTTCAATTATAGTAAATGCTGTCTTAAACATTTAATTCACAAGATGGTGTATTTTGTCTTGTCTCAGGTCAATATTAGTGACAGTGACAGAGTCAACACCATCATTGGAGGCATCAAGGCTATCGACCTTTCTCCTGGATACCCGAAGGTACGCAAGGGATTGATGAGGAGGGGTGAGCTTAAATATATCAGAATCAATCCAACAGACTAGAGGTTGGTTCTTCCATTATTTATTTGGTAGTTTGTCTACCGGTTTCGCCCCACAAGTCAGACTACATCACGACAACGATCAACTCTATATCCAAAGTACTCTTAGGACGGGCAGATTTATATTGTGACTTGTGACGTTTACAGTGAAGAGCTATAACTCTCCAGTGCTTTGTATGATAACTTCCCTAATAGTCCATTTGAGCAGTACTAAGTAATCTTCTATTCAAAATCCTTCACGGTTAAGCAATCAATAAAAATAACACAATTACAGTTAATGTTCATCTTGATTCTCAGTGCTTGTAAGTTCGGTATACTATTGATTTGTTGATGTGGAAGACAACTACGATAGTGTGGATATAAAAATGCGTTAGTCGGTTACTTGAACAATTTACTCCCCAACTTCCCGTCGGGGAGTTTATAAATAGTAGTGTCCAAAAAATTCACTTTGATCTCACTCACTTCAAAGGTAAACTTAATAATGTCATGAAACGAGTTCATGGCCTAACGGACCAAGGATAATGCCTCCAGGGAATGTGGCCCGATAAAAAAGATATCATAGATATACCTCCACAATAATAATGGTACTAGTCCTTGCGTGGTTAGAAATCGGTGTTCAACAAAATCCATGTGATCTCCCAAACTTGAATCTCTACATCCGGTGTAGACTTCTTTGTTATCGGTTACTTAATCATCTCAATCTCAGATGCTAATGCAGAAATACGTTCTGAACAATAATTCTGTAATAGTTTAATTCTAATCCAAATTTAACATGGCATTCCTCCCAATCAATCCCGAAAGATGTGCTGACCTTCGGGAGTTGTGGGCTGACGTGGGTTTGCAGACCTTTCAGTATTGTCCCTTCAAATACGTTTATAGAAGTCTATGTGTTTCTGACACTTATAAGCATGTATCTTGAGTATTTTTCCGTGCTCTTAAACAGGGCACCACTACTGCCTGAAGGTTGACCCTGTCCTGGGACTCTTCAGTACGTGGTCAATTTTCTCGGTTAGTCGAGGTTTCTCCACTTTTATTATTAGGGAATGAAAACTGGAGTGAATTTGTTCCTTCGGTGGACATCGTAGATAAGGAAAGTGGTCCAACAGTGGACGCAGGATGTTTCCAGTGTCTACAATGTGTGTTATTGTGAGAGCCTGTCATCAAAGAAGGCAACATGATCTTTCAGTGGGATTGGTGACAAGTTCTAGTGGCTTGTATTCTCAGAGTGTTTTGGTCTTTGTTATGTGTCATCTGGTGAACTTTAAGATGGATAGGAATTCAGGCCCCGATCTTCGTGATAAAATTATCCACATCTTGTAACCATAACCTTTCATGATGTCTTCTATTTCCTCTGAAAACAAAACCATAATATGTGTACTTGAAAATTCCAAAATGAATATGATGTAATCACTCAAACAGTTACTCGGATATCATACAAACAATCAACATCAGTAAACCGTTTAATGAGAACTAACACATTTAATTCACTAATTCAACAACATTTACCATACATATACATTATATATGGGAAGGAAAACCTAAAAACTATACAAGAGACACGTAAATAACACTTTTCAATAAAAAGATATGATTTAGCATAAGGCTAGGGAAGAGCCAACAACATGGTTTTCTTTAATGTCGGAGTAGCTTTGAACTTTCATCTTTGTCTGGTGACGAAGAAGTATGTAAGAGATTGAGTAAAGAATGGACATATAGTTCTTGTACTTTATTAGACCTGTCAACCATTTCGCCCTGACGATGGACTTCTTAGGAAAAAATGAAAACATATTTCTACCCTTAAAGTACTAAAACTGCAGACCGACACTCCTGATCTAACAAACTATAAGAACGACTTGTTCCTTTCCCTGTTGTGATTGAATCTGTTTCCTAAATTTAGAACAAGATACAATAGATAGAGATAATTTCATTAACTTGTTCTTTAAGGTTTAAACATGCAATAATCACTTTTTATTCTTCTTAAGCACGCATATATGTATTCATCAACTACAAGCAGAAAAAAAAATGTATCATATCTTGATAATCTAAGTATATATACAGCTTGAAAATGTTGGTTATCAAAGAAGTAAATACATCGATGGAAGTTAGCACATCTCTAATATAGTAAATAGTATGGTAATATTGTAAAGGTGACCTGCAATTAGGAATCTACACCAATGTATCTGCAAACATGGCCTAGCTTGTATCAACTTTTGAAGAAATCCCTTACCATTGTAAGTGGCCAAAAACAAAGTTAAAATCAAGAAGGGAAGGTACACAAGTCCAATAAATAAATAAATTCTAATCTTCATGTCGTTAAAGAAATGTAACTGATATTGCAACTTGGTATGAAAGGGAGTGAAATGCTAGAAAGACATTTTTGGTAAGTACTAATTACACAAGAAGGTCATGGTCATCTGACTAAAAAGTCCTATATATGAAAAAGGCCAAATCGGCCTGAATTGCTCAACTACTTGAAATCTTACAAAGAAGACATTGCTGGTTCAAAAAAACATTTTGCAAACTGGAAATCACATTCTTTATACATGCCACACAAATGCCATTACTCTGGACTTATTGCTTGTTGAAAAAGATATTTTATATCTCAACTAATTTGATCTAAGAGATCTTGATGTATTTGATACCTGTGGCCTTAAATGTGGGTCAAGGTCAATTATATGAACAAACTTGATAGCTCTTCATCGTTTAAAGATTTTTATGTAGTTGACCCTTATGACCACGAAAGTATATGTCAAGGTTGTTCGTTTTAACAAACTTGGTAGCCCTTTATCCTATCATATTACTGGCCCAATATCAGCTCCCTAGGCCTTTTGCTTATTGAGAAGAATTCATTGCAAAGGAAGGTTTATGCACAGTACATGATGATGCTCAAAACACAGTGGCTATATGTCGTCCTGACTATTCAGGACAGATTACCCTATAAGTGTATACAATTGCTACCTATGCAATATATAATATTGAGTTTTAGGATTCTATTTACACTTGAATCTTCAAGTAAACATAGGACTTACCTGCATTGTTTTCCTTGATAATGACGAGATAAAATATTCCCAGAGGTGAAAGAATGTCTGGAATTAGTGGGAAAAGCCTGTCCATTACTTCACGGCCATGACAACCCCCAGCCCAGGAAGCTTCAATCCCATCACTGCCCACCTGTAAAGGGCAAAGGTCAAAGTTGTTATTGTGTGCTAACTTACTTCAAACTATATTGGTACTGTATTGGTATACACTTAAGATCAAACAAGTCCTCCAAATCCGAACCTATTGTTTTTTCCCAAACAGTCCTGATCTAATTTCCTTCCCTCAATTCCCTTGTTAGTTTCCTATTCTAGACAACATATCTGAATTATGCCTGACATGCTTTTACATACATCCTGTAACATCCACTTACTTACCTCCCCTCCTGTCACATCCAACTAATTACCTCCCCTCCTGCCACATCCACCTACTTACCTTCCCTCCTGTCACATCCACCTACTTACCTTCCCTCCTGTCACATCCACCTACTTACCTCTCCTCCTGTCACATCCACCTTCTTACCTCCCCTCCTGTCACATCCACCTACTTACCTTCCCTCCTGTCACATCCACCTACTTACCTTCCCTCTTGTCAAATCCACCTACTTACCTTCCCTCCTGTCACATCCACCTACTTACCTTCCCTCTTGTCAAATCCATCTACTTACCTTCCCTCCTGTCACATCCACCTACTTACCTCTTCTCCTGTCACATCCACCTAATTACCTCCCCTCCTGTCACATCCACCTAATTACCTTCCCTCCTGTCACATCCACCTTCTTACCTCCCCTCCTGTCACATCCACCTACTTACCTTCCCTCCTGTCACATCCACCTACTTACCTTCCCTCTTGTCAAATCCACCTACTTACCTTCCCTCCTGTCACATCCACCTACTTACCTTCCCTCTTGTCAAATCCATCTACTTACCTTCCCTCCTGTTACATCCACCTACTTACCTCTTCTCCTGTCACATCCACCTAATTACCTTCCCTCCTGTCACATCCACCTACTTACCTCTTCTCCTGTCACATCCACCTAATTACCTCCCCTCCTGTCACATCCACCTACTTACCTCCCCTCCTGTCACATCCACCTCATTACCTCCCCTCCTGTCACATCCACCTACTTACCTCCCCTCCTGTCACATCCACCTACTTACCTTACCTCCTGTCACATCCACCTACTTACCTCTCCTCCTGTCACATCCACCTTCTTACCTCCCCTCCTGTCACATCCACCTACTTACCTTCCCTCCTGTCACATCCACCTACTTACCTTCCCTCTTGTCAAATCCACCTACTTACCTTCCCTCCTGTCACATCCACCTACTTACCTTCCCTCTTGTCAAATCCATCTACTTACCTGCCCTCCTGTCACATCCACCTCCTTACCTCTTCTCCTGTCACATCCACCTAATTACCTCCCCTCCTGTCACATCCACCTACTTACCTCCCCTCCTGTCACATCCACCTACTTACCTTCCCTCCTGTCAAATCCACCTACTTACCTTCCCTCCTGTCACATCCACCTACTTACCTTCCCTCCTGTCACATCCACCTACTTACCTTTCCTCCTGTTACATCCACCTATTTACCTCTCCTCCTGTCACATCCACCTTATTACCTTCCCTCCTGTCACATCCACCTACTTACCTCTTCTCCTGTCACATCCACCTAATTACCTCCCCTCCTGTCACATCCACCTACTTACCTCCCCTCCTGTCACATCCACCTTATTACCTCCCCTCCTGTCACATCCACCTACTTACCTCCCCTCCTGTCACATCCACCTACTTACCTTTCCTCCTGTCACATCCACCTACTTACCTCTCCTCCTGTCACATCCACCTAATTACCTTCCCTCCTGTCACATCCATCTACTTACCTTCCCTCCTACCACATCCATCTACTTACCTTCCCTCCTGTCACATCCAACTAATTACCTTCACTCCTGTCAAATCCACCTTATTACCTCCCCTCCTGTCACATCCACCTACTTACCTCCCCTCCTGTCACATCCACCTACTTACCTTCCCTCCTGTCACATCCAACTAATTACCTCCCCTCCTGTCACATCCACCTACTTACCTACCCTTATATCCTCTTTCTTACCTCCCCTCCTACTCTCTTATTTCCTTTCCCTCCTCTCCCAACCTTTCCCAGCTTCTTATATCCATTCCCTCTCCCACTCTTTTACTTATCTCCTTTCCTATTACATCCTCTTACTTACCTCCTCTGTCGGTGTAACAACATATGGAGGGTTGAATAGCAATACATCCACCTGGTTTTTCAGCCGAGGTTGAAGGCATTGAACCTAGCAATTAAAAAGACTTAAATAGAAAAATATTGACATTTTGTTGCTGGTACTTTTTCTAATGTGTAAAATGAGTGATGAATACAATTTTTGTAAATTTATATTAATTACAACTGTAATCAGAATCAAATAATTTTTGTTGCAATCATAGAATAGATGTATTGTATAAATGTACTAAACCTAAATGCTGCAGCCTCTGAACTGTATTGAAATTTTGCTGTCTCTCTGTCACTTTCGTTGTTGGAAGACGGTTAATAAAACAGTTCTTCAAAATGACTTGCATCATATCAGAGTTTCCACAAATAAAAAAGGAAAGTATGCTACACTCTTTAATCATTCATCAATTAAAAAGTGAAAATGCCTGGCATTAACTCCATCAGTTATTTTCTGCAATAAGTGCAAGTTGACAATACATAAAGCCTTTATTGAAACTCCTGGGAATTATTCTATGGAAAGTAATTACAGATATGGGTGGACTTATAACAGGATAAATTAAGACTTCTAAATTTACCAAATCTGTGAGTACTGGAATGACTGTAACACCATTTTGTTCAGCAGTCCTCTTTGCTGCCAAAACAGCCAATGGGTTGATGTCTGTGCACCTTTAAACACATTTAAAGGTACTTTAATATACTGGATAAAGTTATCCCCCTTTAAACAAAGATTTCGTACTGAAGAGTTATATCCCTTCTCCTATATAGATTGGTAATATCTAACAGTATATATATTCCTTCATGTGTCAATATATACATACCAAAGTCATGTTACAGTTTTCTGCATGTTCTTTCCACTCACAGGAAAATTTATTGACACAAATATATACTTCAATCAACAAAACAGTGAGATTCAATCACCAGTTTTTCATGTAGGGTTTTCTTTTACAATGTTATGAAATCAACTATCCAAACAACAGCATACTGAATAAGTTAAGTTTCCTGTGTTCTATATTTAATTATACACAGTAAGTGTATTAAAGTATTTTTGGAAATTTGATAAATTTTAAGGTATATTTAAAATTTTCTTCCCATTATCTTTTACAAAAAAAAAGAAAAAAAAAGGAAAAACATCTTTTCTTATATACAAGAAAAACCACTTCCATACAGTATAAACTTTTATAATATCATTCTTTGCACAAATTTTATCAATGGTAAAGAATTAGTCTAAAACCAGATTCCTAAGATTCAAATTCGAACATTTTTGTGCTACTAAATATGACTTACCAGTACATGGCCGCTGTTGGACCTAACATCTTTGCTAGAAATGTTATGCATACTCCAGATCCACATCCTATCTCTACACAACAAGACGGTCTGGAAATGAAACGGCAAAAAAATTCACAAAAATGAATAATTCCGAAATCAAAGTAAAAAAATTCAGGAACCAGACTATAATTTACCAGCTGTTTTTTCATATTCCTAGGTCTATGTTATTCCAATAAAATTGTGTGTTGTGAAACAATGGCATTGAAGCATCCACTTGCATACATGATATGAGAGATTCTCTTCCTTGAAATACCTCAATGTACAAGGCTTGACAGGTTTCTTAATTCCAATAAGTTTGGTTGTTGGCTTTATCTAAGTCAGGGTCATTTTGAGGAAGCTGAGAAACTGACCAGTTTGTGCTAATTTGTATGGAATAAACATTGCTGTGTAAAAAGTAAAGAAGACTAAAAGGATACCTTACCCAATCCTCCAATAAATGTTTGAAATCTGTCATCTGTGACAAAAAACTTATCCAAATCCAGTCTGTCTAAATAACCAACTTACCGTGACCGTATAATTGCATTCATGGTAATGTCAATATCTTACTATTATCAAGACGAGTGATCACAAATACACTTGCAATCAATAATTGTTTTTATAAATATGTCACGGCTATCATAACTTGAATAGAGCAATGCTCATTGGAGGTAGCACTAAACAGCAAGTCGCTACTCACTTCAGAATTCACAAATCAACTAAAAGTCAATTAGTTTTCTATCTCAACACCACGATTAGAGATGATGACAGATTGAGACCAGGACGTCCAAGTGTAATGTCAAGGCTTGCCCATTTGTGTGCAGGAGATCAACAATGGTCAAAAGAGCACAAAATAGTAATGGAAACTGTCAAATCCAACAAAACTGTGAGACATATAGAGTGTGAGAGGCAAATTTATGCCCATGTCATCAGTAAATTGGTTTGCAACTGACACCTCACGTGGAGCATGTATGTGATGATTGACATGTGCCCAGACTTTATAAATGCTCTTTTTTAAAAACTGAAAAATTGGAGTTGGAGATCAATGCTCTTCACAGATGGATCAATATCTTGATTCACATTATTTATATCAGATGGTCGTCATTGTGTGAACCAGTGTCAAGATGAGAGCTGTGCAGACGTTTGTGTTTTGGGTCACAACACATTTTGAGAGTGGATTGTACGGTTTCAGGAGTTTTCCATGGTTTAAAGACACTTTTAGTGATCATTAACAGGAATTAAATGGTTGTACACTATTGAGATGAGATCCTGAGGCCTAATGATGTGCCTTTCATCATAAAGCACCATTTGACCTTTCAGTATGATAACATTAATGTCCTTATGAATTCCATGTCACTCAGAATCAGAGACAGTTATCTGTTCTGGGAGGGCACACACGATATTAGGGATCGATCTGACAACTGCCGATATTACAAAATTGTGTACATTAGGGTACCCTAAATCATGGCGACCTAAAAAATCATCATGTTTTAAAAATCTCAAAAAAATGAATATATGTGACCCAATATTCCAACTACTGCATTTCACATACTCGTATAGGCATGCTGCTCATAAATATTATTTTATTAAACCGTGAAGTTGAAGTTGCCTTTGTTTTCCCTCTTAGTTTATTTTGGAAGAATTTGGGTTCCAGACCACTGTGTGCCCTAAAGTGGCCATTCTACATGTGCTGATCTTAGTAAAAAGCTCTGTCAACTTCAATCGTGGAAAGGGAAACAGTGCTTAAAAATAAAGACACGTGTTAATGTTTTCTTTTCTTCTTACTTTTTCTCCTTGATATATTCGTGTTCTTTTGCCAGTGCATCTAGGAATAGAAATGTGTCTTCAGCTGGTTCATACACGCGCTCGAAGTCCTCCTGTCGTAAGTGAGAGATGTCTGGAGTACTATACTTATCGTCTGACATTTTGCAATATTATTGTGATATTTTTTGATAGGAGATTTACACAAGGGCGACAACTCTTGCATAATGCATCTTAAGGTCGAGTGTTCGCTGATTTTTGTAATGAATTGAAATACTCAAATCATATTGTTCTAGAATTATAGTATTATTTTTTACATTTATTTAAGAAAGATAATGTATAAATGACGGGCTATTTCGTGTGTTAACTGATTTTCATATCACCCAAAATATACGCCACCAATTAAGAGCACAAAGCTGATACACACGCTTTCCAATTATTATGATAAACATTAATCAAATGCATAAAACGAGATTTTTTTCTCACGAAATTTTGCATTCTACAAGTATTCTCACAAAAAAAACGAACACATCAAATATACAAGTCCAAATTTTGACAGACGCTGCAGCCAGCAGTCGAAGTTTAATACTAGATTTTTTTTCGCTTTTTAGAAGAGAATGTACAATAAAATAATTACCCTTTCACAATAAAAACAGAGCGGTCTCTGGATAGATGCGACATAATCTCTTAGTAGAGGTGGTCTCCTCATAGAGGTTTCTTAATCGAGGTGATCTCCTTATAGTGATTGATTCTTGTTAGATGTGGTCGCATGATAGAGGTTGTCACCCTACAAAGGTGGTCTCCTCATAGAGGTTTCTTAATCGAGGTGATCTCCTTATAGTGATTGATTCTTGTTAGATGTGGTCGCATGATAGAGGTTGTCACCCTACAAAGGTGGTCTCTTCATAGAGGTTTCTTAATCGAGGTGATCTTCTTATAGTGATTGATTCTTATTAGATGTGGTCGCATGATAGAGGTTGTCACCCTACAAAGGTGGTCTCCTCATAGAGGTTTCTTAATCGAAGTGATCTCCTTATAGTGATTGATTCTTGTTAGATGTGGTCGCATGATAGAGGTTGTCACCCTACAAAGGTGGTCTCCTCATAGAAGTTTCTTAATCGAGGTGATCTTCTTATAGTGATTGATTCTTGTTAGATGTGGTCTCATGATAGAGGTTGTCACCCTACAAAGGTGGTCTCCTCATAGAGGTTTCTTAATCGAGGTGATCTCCTTATAGTGATTGATTCTTGTTAGATGTGGTCGCATGATAGAGGTTGTCACCCTACAAATGTGGTCTCTTCATAGAGGTTTCTTAATCGAGGTGATCTCCTTATAGTGATTGATTCTTGTTAGATGTGGTCGCATGATAGAGGTTGTCACCCTACAAAGGTGGTCTCCTCATAGAGGTTTCTTAATCGAAGTGATCTCCTTATAGTGATTGATTCTTGTTAGATGTGGTCGCATGATAGAGGTTGTCACCCTACAAAGGTGGTCTCCTCATAGAGGTTTCTTAATCGAGGTGATCTTCTTATAGTGATTAATTCTTGTTAGATGTGGTCGCATGATAGAGGTTGTCATTCTACAAAGGTGGTCTCCTCATAGAGGTTTCTTAATCGAGGTGATCTCCTTATAGTGATTGATTCTTGTTAGAAGTGGTCTCCTGATAGAGGTTGTATCTCGATGAAGGTGATCTCGTTATAGAGCCGGTCTCCTGATGAAGGTAGCCTCTTTTTAGAGATCAGGTTTCATTGTATTACTTTTATTCTTTTTAAGTCAGATCAAACCACAACCTCCCTCAAAAGACTGACCAATCATCCAGAAGAAATCTGCAATCACGTGACGGGATTCGTCCAACGGTAAATCCTGAAGTATATTTATCTAATTTATATATTAATGTCTAGCATGAAAATGAAAATGATGAAATTAATGGTAATTAAGGGTTGAAGTTAATTGTCCAAGTAATTTTCGAGAGGCTAATGGCTTATATCCCGTCACAACACCTAATGTTGATGACGACTGTAATCCTGTGAGGCAAAGATGATGTGATGAAAACGTTACGAGTAAAGTCGATGAATATAGATGTGGTAAATATTAATTTGTTAACTTACAGGGAAACATCCGAGAAGGGTATGAAATCACTTTCCGCATGTTGTCGAAAAACAAACTCCAAATCACCAGTCGACAAAAACGATGTCGATGATGATGCGAATAAAGACGATACCGATTCTCCAGGGGACCCAAAGAAGTCCATTTCATTCACAAATATCTGTGATGGCTAATTTGGTCATACTGTGAAATATTGGGGAAATTAGAAACAGCTTCAGAATCAGGTGTAACTACTTTCGTTTTTCCCCTAAAATTTTAACCGTTTTTTGTTTCATGATTTGTACAGTCACGAAACAAGTTTTGTGAATGTTGATAGAGAATGTGACGAGTAAGAAATAATTATGATTAGCCAATCATATTACACAGAAAAGTTCATAAAAAGAAGGAAATGTTCAGTTACCCTCGTTGTGTTGGAAATTGAACGCAAAACATCAGCCGTTAAGACAGGTGTGGGAGATACTAAGGAAGCTTGTGACGATTCACCAAGGAACTTGAGTAAGGGATCTACAGGTATCAAAGAGGAAGTTATCCCTCAGGACATTGATGACGTCAGGGACGTATATGATGACGTAAAACCTGTCGATCTCAACTCTTTTCCGAGAAAGGTGATGAAAACAGACAAAATCAGTTAAATTAAATTGCAGAAAATAACATGATTTATTTATAGAGATATTGTATACAGTTCATTTATCATAGACCCTACAAGATTTTTCTGAGTACATATGTAATTAACAAAACTTTACATTAATCTTGTCCAATACTAGTGCTAATAATTACAAATCTATATGATGTAGCATTCAGTGAGGCGATGCATTTCCGCTGTATATTTAAACATGTTTGACCACACGTGCTGGTAGCTGACCGGACCTGCTGTAGGTATCTGGTTTGTATTAAACTGACACGCGACCATTTTCCCACGCATTGTACATGACTTTGATTCAGGTAAAATCTGGAAACGTGATGAAGATATTTTACTATTTTCTGGGCGTTTTCATCGGGGTTTGTAAATCATCAAGGTCAGCTTTGTTTAAAAAACGACCGTCTTTTTGGACGGGAGTCAGTCTTATACAAAAAAGAGTTTGATTATAAATCTGGTGATTTGTGATTAAAAACCATCATGTGTTGATATAAACCTCACGGCCTGATTTTTCCTTGAAACGAAAATCTGCACTTAACTCCTCTTATTCGTATTTCAGATACGACATGATCCTTCATTTTGTTGGTGTGTATTTATCACTGAATGGTCACTGGTTCATATGTTTTACCATTTAGTCCAGAATCTCCTCATGATCGTGTGGACTTCGACTAGAATTTAACAAAACCAAAAATCGTGACCAAAACCTTAAAAAACATACAAAAATTTAAAAATAAAAAAAAACCCCAATAATGCGATAAATCAAATCATTTTTTAATATCGATATATATTCAGTCGACTTTTGTTATGTAGTTTGGCTGATCTGTGTGGTAATATTTCGGCCATGGTTCCGTATACTGGGCGGGATCCTTTTGGTGCCATCTGGCAGGTAAATCTAGTCTGCCTGGGAGTTGTGTCCCTTTGTACGTTGACATATACACAGTGTCCATTCTCCTGATATATTCCTCCATATTTCGACCTTAAGGAAAGCATAAAATTATAAACAGATCTCAAAGATTTATTTTGTTTTCCCCTCTTTCAAATATACTCTAGAAACCAGAAATGTCAGTGGGAAATTGAAAAGGTCATGGTGACGTATGAGGAGTTAAATTGTCAGCAAAACTCCAATTCCAATCAAAAATATATCTTTTTGCATAAAATCACATAATCGTACAATGCATTACTTTGAAGTTTTCAACCTTGACTCATGCACAAGTTTGTATTGGTGCACACGTCCTTTACCTGTGAGTTTAGTTTGTGTGGCTACTGTCTTCGTTTTCGATCTCTCCATTTCTTCTTGTTTCTCAATCGCTTTCCTGTTAAGAATAATAACAACGGCCCTAGAAATGCCTTCAGTTGACAATCCTGCGCAATATGAATGTGAAATTGATTGAGAAGTTCAATGAAGCGAGTTCATTTGCGTTTATTCTGATGACATACATGATACAAATGAATGCAGACGCCAACTGAAAGCAGTTCAGTCAATCAGCTTATATTCATCATTAAAAATTTTCAGTTTAGTTATAGTTAGTTGCTTGCAATATTACGTTGGAAGTTCATCAAATGGCTATTAACAAGTAAATTCGGTTAGGCTTAAACAACAACAAGAAGATAGGACACAGTTATAACAAACGTTATCGTCATTATAAACATAATGTCTTCAAGTGTATAACATAATTTATAAAAATGAACTTAAAAAAGAAAACGAGAAACTGTAGCGATGCCGCACATGATATGGACTTCATGGTGGAACGGTACGGATGTAAGTCATAAAGATATAACCATAGATACCACTGTAAATCATAGATATAACCATAGATACTACTGTAAATCATAGATATAACCATAGATACTACTGTAAATCATAGATATAACCATAGATACCACTGTAAATCATAGATATAACCATAGATACGACTGTAAATCATAGATATAACCATAGATACCACTGTAAATCATAGATATAACCATAGATACCACTGTAAATCATAGATATAACCATAGATACGACTGTAAATCATACAGATATAGCCATAGATACGACTGTAAATCATAGATATAGCCATATATACCACTGTAAATCATACAGAATTAGCCATAGATACCACTGTAAATCACAGATGTAACCATAGATACCACTGTAAATCATAGATATAACCATAGATACGACTGTAAATCATAGTTATAACCATAGATACGACTGTAAATCATAGATATAACCAAAGATACGACTGTAAATCATAAAGATAAAACCATAGATACGGCTGTAAACCATAGAGCTATAACCATAGAAACGACTGTAAATCATAGAGCTATAACCATAGATACCACTGTAAATCATAGATATAACCATAGATACCACTGTAAATCATAGATATAACCATAGATACGACTGTAAATCATAGATATAACCATAGATACGAC